GTGTTTGACATTTCTTCATTCTCCATGGCTTTAGTCAGTTTCAAAGCTGTGAATATCGCAGGCAAAGTATGCACAGACGCATCAAATATAAATTTCATAGATTAAAATCTTACATCCCAGCTCATCCAGTAGATTACCGTTTGTCTTATAAAAGGAAATGATAAGGTTCAAGAGACTCACTAGGGGACCACCCACCAAGGGGGAACCGGATTGGGGATTAGAATCCCTATGTCCAGCTGTGGCTTCATATACTACACAGCCCTCTCTGAGCGAGACTGATCCACACTGTTTATTCTCAGTTAGAAGCATGCCCATCAAACGTCAAACTTATTGCCACTGTACATATGTCTACTCAAAGAAGCACAAAGTGCCCAGTGTTGATGGAAAAATACATGTACTCTTTAGTGAATCCCAAACAGCAAGTGTTCCCCATACCCAGGGACCCAGACTGAGACCTTCACCAACTTCAGCCAGAAACTGCATCCATCTGGCCTACTGCCATATCCACAACATCTGAACAGTAAACAGAAATGATGACTTGGCTTGGTACTACATCTTTAATGTGTGGGTCTTTATAAATTTAAATTTAAAAATTTAAGTCTTTTTATTACATTTATTTATATTTGTGGAGAGTGGTACATATTTCCAAGGCATGTGTATAGAAATCAGAGAACAATTTTTGGGAGTCTTCCCTTCCATCACGTGGGTCCTCGGCATTGGCGGGAATTGTCTTTCTCCCCTGAGCATCTCCCTGATCTAAATAAAAAGTAGGGAGATGGGGGACTGGAGAGATGGCCCAGCAGTGAAGAGCACTGGCTCTTCCAGAGGACCTGGGTTCAATTCCCAGCACCCACATGGCAGCTCACAACTGTCTGTAATTCCAGTTCCAGGGTATCTGACACCCCCACACCAATGCACATAAAATAAAGTTTAAAAAAACTTTTCTTAAAGTAGGGAGATGGATCAGTGACACAAACATGGAGACCTAAGTGAGATCCCCAGTATCAAAAAAAGCCAGATGTCTGTCTGTCACCCAAACACTGCGGGGTGGAAGATCAGGCAAGTCCCTGGAGTTCACTGGCCAGCAGCTTAGCTGAACTGGTGAGCTCCAGAATCAGTGAGGGACCCTATCTTGAAAATTTGGAGGCACATAGAAGAAAACGGCAGACATCACTGGCCTCCACACCCACACAAACATGTGCATATACCACAAAACAGAAAAACACCTTTGAAATTTTTAAAATGATAATTATGCCTGAATATACATGTCAAAATGAGACCTAGAACATACACACTGAAGGAATTAGAGTTGATCTTTACAAATCTCATTTGGGATTAGGTGTGTTGTGAGTACACTGTGTCACAAATTGTGAATATGTTTGTGTCTTCCTGCAGTGTCAGAATGTATTGAATAAATGAGACTTTCAAAGTTGAATTATGTTTTATATGCAATCTTGGGGGAAAACAAGAAAGGAGAGGTTTGTGTGTCGATATTTTGCTTGTGAAATAACAAAGCCTGCCTGAAGATCAGAGTGCAGAGCTAAGCCAGTAGTTAGCTGCAGGGGCCAGGCAGTGGTGGCACACACCTTAAATCCCAGCACTCGAGAGGCAGAAGCAGACAGATCTCTGTGAGTTCAAGGCCACCTGGGCTATACAAGATTGATCCAGTCAAAAAGAGAAACAGAGCCAGGCAGTGATGGCACACAGATTTGATCCCAGCACTTGGGATCTCACGCCTTTAATCCCAGCACTAGGGAGATGGAGACAGGAAGTGATCTGGCTGGATGGAGAGAGGAATATAAGGTGGGGGGAGACAGGAGCTCAGCCCCTTTTCAGTCTGATTCAGTAGAGATAAGATCCCTAGTGGCTGGCTGTCTGGCTTCTCTGATCTTTTAGCATTTACCCTGATATCTGGCTCCAGGTTTTTATTAAGACCAATTGGGATTCTTGCTACAGTTATGGGCTAAGTGATATGTTTGTGCATCAAAGTTGACAAATTAGCTTTAGCTATCAATGTGACACAAACCTAGAGTCACTGTGGAAGAAGAAACATCAGCTAAAGAATTGCCTCCATCAGTTTGGCCTGTGGAGGTCATATCTGTGAAGCATTCTCTTAACTGCTAGGTAATGTAGGAGAGCCAAGTCCACTGTGGACAGTGCCATCCCTGGGCAGATGGGCTTGGGCTTTATAAGAAGGGTAACTGACGCCATCCTATCACAAGGACACTTGCTTAACTGTGTTTATAACAGCTGTGTTCATAGTAACTAGAAGCTGGAAACAACCTAGATGTCCCCCAACTGAAGAACGGATAAAGAAAATGTGGCACATTGATACAATGGAGTATATTACTCAGCTGTTAAAAACAATGACATCATGAAATTTGCAGGCAAATAGATGGAACTTGAAAAAAATCATCCTGAATGTGGTAACCCAGACCCAGAAAGACAAACATGGTATGTTCTCACTTACAAGTGGACATTGGCTGTAAAGTAAAAGATAATCATGTTACAGTCCACTGACCAGAGAAGCTAAGTAACAAGGAGGGCTCGAGGGGAAATACTCGGCTTACACAGTATGGCCGGCGACATTAGCTAGCGCTCGCTCAACTCTCTCTAACGGGAAAGCAGCGGACTACAAGAGACTGAACTGTATCTGCCTCTATTTCCAACAGACTCACATTCAACTTTCGCTCACACACACACACACAAAAAAAAAAAAATAAATAGCCGGGAAAATTTTATTAGTCCTTTTTTTAAAAAAAGTTAATATAAAATTATAGCAAAAAAAAAAAAAAAAGGAACCTGAACTTTAGTAACACAGCTGGAACAATCCGCAGCGGCGGCAGGAGCGGCGGGAGAAGAGGTTTAATTTAGTTGATTTTCTGTGGTTGTTGGTTGTTCGCTCGTCGCACGGTGATGGAAGCTGCACATTTTTTCGAAGGCACCGAGAAGCTGCTGGAGGTCTGGTTCTCCAGGCAGCAGTCCGACGCAAGCCAGGGATCTGGGGATCTCCGCACCATCCCAAGATCTGAGTGGGATGTCCTTTTGAAGGATGTGCAGTGCTCAATCATAAGTGTGACAAAGACTGACAAGCAGGAAGCTTATGTACTCAGTGAGAGTAGCATGTTTGTCTCCAAGAGACGTTTCATTTTGAAGACATGTGGTACCACCCTCTTACTGAAAGCACTGGTTCCCCTGTTGAAGCTTGCTAGGGATTACAGTGGGTTTGACTCAATTCAA